AGCCAGCGCGCCCAGCGTGAGTTCTTTTATTTATAAAGTGTATTACTCTAAATTGCACATGAAGTATTTTGTAACCTTGGAGATCTTGGAATATATAGTTTTCTGGATGTTGTAAAGATTTTTTTTTTTTTGGTAAGGTACTTTCTGGTAAAAGAAACACTAAATCTTTCATCTGAGTGAACCTGACTTGCCATTTGGGTGGTAGGTTTTGGTGGTTTTGTACCTTTCTTTGGCTTTGGATAGTCATCAGCTGCAGGGCACCAGACTTGTGTGTGAGTTTTTTTTAGTTGGAAAGCAATGCTTGATTGCTAATGATTGTGCTTTTTAAGTGATAGCCTTTTAGGTTAAGTATCAAAATTAACATTGAATATTTTTTGACTTCCGAATTAATTTTGTAACTCAATATTTTAGTAGAAATCACTTCAGTTGTTTTTATTATCTATTTTTCTAAGTTTTAAGCAAAGAGAACACTTGTGGGGGATGTCTTTTTTTCTCTGAGAAGTCAGAGAACCTGAGAACTCAATTCTTTCCTGACCAGTGTGGTCACTAAAGTTCTGTGTGTCCTCCTTGCAGCTCCCATCCTTTTGGCAACATATAATTAGGGGTTTTCCTGGGGATTTAGAATTGGGACCGAACGACAGCTGATCTTTAAACAAATTGCTTGGACTGAAGTGATACAGGCTTTGAACGTGCCTGTAGCCATTTTTAGTATTGTGTATGGTGGAATAGGAGAATGCTGGTCTATGGAAAGAAAATGGTGTAGATGGATAGAAAGAAACAAAGATGAAAGTCAGAGAGTATTGTCCCATATTTGGTGAGGCCCAGCTATCTTGAGTACCATAACATCAGTGATCATACAGTAAGTTGCCTTTTTTCTATGAGTTTGCTCCAACTGATTTCTCTTAGTAATAAAAAAACCTCAACTAAAGTAGCTTAAAACAAAAATACGTAGTTGTGTATGATTATCCACTTGCTAAACAATGAAGTTAGGTGCCTTTCTTACACCAAGCACAAGTGGATTATAGACCTAAATGTAAGAGCTAAGTTCTGTAAAACTTTTAAAAGAAAACATACCAATAAATCTTCATGACTTTTGGTTAGGCAGGGGCTTCTTAAGTATGACACAAAAAGTTCAAAAATGACAAATTGAACCTCTTCAAAATTTAAAACCTTTGGCCTGGTACAGTGGCTCATGCCTGTAATCTTAGCACCTTGGGAGGCCAAGGCAGGAGAATCACTTGAGGCCAGGAGTTTGAGACCAGCCTGAGCAACATAATGAGACTCCATCTCTACAAAAAAAAATTTTATCCAGGCATGGTGGTGTGCCTTAGTACTAGCTACACTGGAGGCTGAGGTGGGAAGATGGCTTGAGCCCAGGAATACAAGATTATAATGAACTGTAATCATGCCACTTCACTCCAGCCTAGGTAGCAGAGTGGGAACCTGTCTCTTTAAAACAAATTAAGAACTTTGTGTGCAAAATATGCCATCAAGAGAGTGGAAAACCATGGCCGGACACAGTGGCCTATGCCTTTAATCCCAGCGCTTTGGGAGGCCGAGGCAAGCGGATCAGCTGAGGTCAGGAGTTTGAGACCAGCCTGCCAATATGGTGAAACCCCGTCTCTACTAAAAATACAAAAATTAGCTGGGCCCATGGTGCATGCCTGTAATCCCAGCTACTCTGGAGGCTGAGGCAAGAGAATTGGTTGCAGTGAGCTAAGATCATGCCACTGCATTCCAGCCTGGGCAACAGAGTGAGACTCTGTCTCAAAAAAAAAAAAAGAAGAAAGTGGAAAAACAGCCTTGAAAATGGGAGAAAATATTCATACATCATATGTCTGTTAAGAGCTTTATATCCTGAATATTAAAACAAACAAAAAGCAACATAGCTTTTCAGTGTGCAAATAATCTGAATAGGCTTTTTTCCAGAGAGGATATACAAATGGCCAATAAGCACATGTAAAGATGCAAAGCATGATTAGCTGTTGGGGAAATGCAGATCAAAACCACAGTGAAACACCACTTCACATCCACTAGGAGAACTGTAACTAAAAAGACAGGTAATAACAAGTGTTGTCAAGGCCGTAGAGAACATACATTGCTGGTGAGAATGCAGAATATAGCTGCTTTGGAAGAGTTTGTACTTGCCTCTCATTTTAAACATGGGATCCAGCAACTTCACCCTTAGGCATATACCCAAATGAAACAAATGTCCACACCAAAACTAGTACAGCAGTGTTCAAAGCATCATCATTAGCCCCAAAGTAGAAATAGCCCAAATTACATCAGCTAGTAAATGAATAAACAAAATGTGATATATCCATAAAGGGAATATTATTTAGCCACAAAAAGGAATGAAGTACTATACATGCTGTAATATGGAAAAACCGTAAAAGACATGCTAAGTGAAGGAAGCCAGACACAAAAGACAACATAATGTGTGATTTTATTTACATGAAATGTCCAGGATAGACAGATTCATAGAGACAGAAAGTAGATTACTGATTTCCAGGGATTGGAGAGAGGGGGAACAGGAGCGATGGCTCATGGAGATAATGTTTCTTTTTGGAAAGATGGAAGTGCTCTAAGGCTAGATGTGGTGATGCTTGTACAACTCTGAGCATACTAAAATGCATTGTGTACTGTAAAAGGGTAAATTGTATCATGTGAGTTATTTCTCAGTAATGCTGTTTTTAAAAGTAAATACATAATGAAGATAATGAAGTTAATATGTTTTCTAATGGTATGATACAGATTTCAAAAATATTAACAGGTTTTTTTTTTTTTTTTTGAGACACAGTTGTCACTCAGGCTGGAGTTCAGTGGCATGATCTCAGCTCACTGCAACCTCCGCCTCCTGGGTTCAAGCAATTCTCCTGCCTTAGCCTCCTGAGTAGCTGGGATTACCGATGCACGCCACAAGGCCCAGCTAATTTTTATATTTTTAGTAGAGACAGGGTTTCACCGTGTTGTTCAGGCTGGTCTCAAATTCCTGACATTGTGATCCGCCCACCTTGGCTTCTCAAAGTACTGGGATTACAGGCATGAGCCACCATACCCAGCCATAACAGATTTCTATAGAGGTAACTTAGTTGTAATACATTCTTCGGCTGGGCACAGTGGCTCACGCCTGTAATCCCAGCACTCTGGAAGGCGGAGGCAGGCAGATCATCAGGTCAGGAGATAAAGACCATCCTGGCCAACATGGCGAAACCCTGTCTTTACTAAAAGTACAAAAATTAGCTGGGTGTGGTGGTATGTGCCTGTAGTCCCAGATACTCAGGAACGAGAACAGCTTGAACCCAGGAGGCATTGCACTTCCACCTGGCGACAGCAAGACTTCATCTAAAAAAATTATTTTTTCATAATAGGTAAAAATTCTGAATATCATGTTGCTTCATTTTAAGGAAATTTGAATAAAAATTTATTACTGATTGTATATTTATCAGTGTGAGTTACAGTAAAAGTTGAAAATACATTTTTCCTAACCTATCAGTCTCATTGTCATTCTGTTTTTTTGAGGTGAATAGAGACATTTGTGGTGTTATGGAAAGATTTTTGGACTTAGCAGTTGCTCAAGCAGAGCAAACACAGGTGTTCTGGTGTCTATGGTCTTAGATAAATAATTTTTTAGAGCAACAGTTTCAAAATCTATAATATGAGGTTCATGCTGGATTTGAAAAATTTTGTGGTTTTTTTTTTCTTTCTTTCTGCTGTTTATTAGAAGTATGGGAAATTTTCCCATAGAAAATTTTCATAGGAAGATATAAAGGATATTCAGGTGCTATCCTTATTTCAATATGTTTATTCACACCAGTGTTTTATCTTAAATTTTAAGTCTTTTGCAAACAGAAATGGTATTCAGATGTGTCCAAAGCCTAGTACTACATCTGAGAAAACAGGTTCTTAGTATGTATTATTTGAAGAAATTGGAATTTAGTGACATTATTGGTGACCTTTGAAGTATTAAGTGACGGAGTTCATTGAAATATTAATTGAAAAACTTTTTTTTTTTTTTTTTTGAGATGGAGTCTCGCTCTGTCTCCCAGGCTGGAGTGCAGTGGCAAGATCTCGGCTCACTGAAACCTCCACCCCCTGGGTTCAAGCGATTCTCCTGCCTCAGCCTCCCAAGTAGCTGTGACTACAGGTGCGTGCCACCATTCCTGGCTAATTTTTTGTGTTTTTAGTAGAGATGTGGTTTCACTGTGTTAGCCAGGATTGTCTTGATATATTTATCAGTTTAAAAACTGTGTCATTGGCTGGGCACAGTGGCTCACACCTGTAATCCCAGCACTTTGGGAGGCCAAGGTGGATGCCGTCACTTGAGGTTAGGAGTTTGAGACAAGCCTGGCCAACATGATGAAACCCCATCTCTACTAAGAATACAAAAATTAGCTGGACATGGTAGCATGTGCCTGTAATCCCAGCTACTTCGGTAGCTGAGGCAGGGGAATCGCTTGAACCTGGGAGGTGGAGGTTGCAGTAAGCCAAGATCATGCCTGTGTGGGTGGTGTGGGTGACAGAGCAAGACTTCTTCTCAAAAAAA